TATGTAATGTTCCTCTAGCGGCTTCCTACCACGGTTCTACGAGGTTTTGCAAGGGTTCATACAGGGGTCGGGATATTCACGAACATCATTCCTTCGGGTCACTTAATGTGACTATATAGGGTTTAGGGTTTAGGGTTTAAGTTGAGCGCTTAAAACAAAAAGTCCCAAGCACAGCTGGCTTAGGGGTTTAGGGTTTAGGGTTTAGGGTTTTTGACCGATCCACCAAAACACGACATCCCAGATTTCCAGAATACCTGACATCGCAGCACCTGGATCCCCAATGCTTAGATTCTAGGATGCCCAGTAGTACCCTTATTCCCTTTTTGTAGTCCTAGGTTCCTTATAAAGCTACCCAATACCAAAAAGAGAGGCCTTTTTATTCTTAGGTTACTGGGTATCCTAGTTGACTAAATCCCAAACCCAACACCCTAAACCTCTAAACCCTAAACCCCTAAACCCTAGACCTCTACAAACCCTCAGCCGTTAACAAATCCTAGACCACCTATACGAGACAGTCTTGAGCCATGAACCTTCAGCTGCAGACATTCACTCATAAGGATCCTTGCGGGGGTATAAGGTGCCGTTTTCCTTATAATGAGGACTTAATAAGGCCTCTTTAAAAAGGAAGTGTAGTCTCCTACCCCCTTCCCCCTACCCCCTCTAAGAGCCCCTCTGATTCACAGCGAAAGCCAAGAAGTTGGAACTTGACTTCCCCGGAAACTCTTGGAGTCAAGTCCAGGGTTTAGGGTTTTAGGGTTTTAGGGTTTAGGGTTTAGGGTTTCGGGTTCAGGGTTTAGGGTTTAGGGTTCAGGCGTCAGATGCTTTTGGGGTGCAGGGATTGTGGGCTGAGAGATTCGCGCATGTTGTTGGAGACAGGTCGGTTTGGTGTTAAGCCCCAGACACTACATTGAGGCTCAGGTGACTCTGAGGTTCTGAGCATCCCAACTTTTCTTAACCCAGTGCTAGCTTTGCTAAACGTTGTCCATCAAGCCCCATCTGAACGTCCACGGCCGAGAGTTTAGGGTTTAGAGGATCATGGGACTTAGTAAATAAGGTTATAAGTACCTTAATTGGGGTTATAAGTATAGTTACCCTAATTATAACCCTAGTTACTAAGTCCCATGATCCTTTAAGTAGGGGTTTAGGGGTTTAGGGGTTTAAGCTCAGAGCTCCGACGGCTTCAGCGGTTTTGGTCCTAGGTCGTGTGGAGGAAACTTGACATCGCCTGCACCCCAAAGATCCCTTACGGAGTCTTTAAGAACCCTTACTAAAGTCCCTGCCCCTCCAAGTAGTAATCGCATAGCCCCAGATCGCCTGGAACTGCTGAGTGGTAATCGCTAAACCCCGAAAGCTAATCAGTATAGCATCATGTACCTTAGTCTGTTTCATCCCAACTGTAACCCTAGTGAGTGCCTGGATGCTAAAGTCACCCGTGAGAACAGGCGCCCCAAAAGCAAAGAACGGGCAACCTGGCCAGGCAGCAAAGCACTCCTAGCTGTGAGATGCGGCGCTCAACCAAGTGAGCCCAGGGACCAGCCGCAAACTCACGGTCCAAGCCCTAAAGCCCAACCCTACACTTGCATGACATAGCAAGCAGCAAGCAGATACCTTGAGGGAAGCCTAGGCCCATGTTCTTTAGGCGGATGCCAGAACCTGCGAATCGTGATCATTCGCGTGGAGGGCTTGCTGAAATTTGAGTATTCTTGTCAGTGAAATGTGAGGCTGATCCTTTGTTTCGTCGGCTTCGAATCTAGCTTGCATGTTGATTAGCCTGGTTTCAGCAGCCTTCGGCGAATTTGGTTACACCCCTCTGCTGCGGCCAGTGCCTCATGTGGCCGTTATGAGTCTCATGTGTGTCGGCATGCAGCTACGCCAGAGAAGCGTGTGGCGACGATGCTTGGGGAGAAGGATGTATCAGGCTTGTTGGGACAGGTTCGATATTCATGTTGATGCCGGCCGTGGCCCGAAAAATGGGTGAGACATAAGCCCTAAATGTCAAACCCTAAACCCCTCAACAGCCTGGACAACTTCTCATCCTGCGTCCGTTGCTTTGATCTACGCCTGAGAAGCGTGTTTCACTGGAGCAGCCGCCAGCAACATTTGCTGTGAGCAAGGTCTAGGGTTTATATAGCTAGGTTCCTGAGTAGTACCCTTTTGCCCTTTTTTTGGTAGGGTTTCCTTATAAAACCGAATGGTAGGAAGAAGCGTACTCGTATTATTTAGGGGTCACTCAGGAACCTAGATAAAAAGCCTTATCATGGGTACCATAGGAGCCTTAACAACTAGAATAGGCTTCCGTTAAAGGGGTCTATAAGGGCTACTAGTTTCTTCGGGGTATTTAGAAATACTTTTAAATTTTTGGTTATTATAATCCCTAAGACACAGCTACAATTGAAATTTTTGCTAGGGTTCTAAGTTCAGTATAGTGAACCCTTATTCGGCGTCTAAGGTTTCTGTGTAGGAACCTTGGAGTTAGGGCATCAGGGCCCATGTTCACCTGTTTCAAACGAAGCAACAAGGTAGTAGAGGGGTCGGAATAACTACTATCACTATGCGTCTTAAGCATTTTATAGGGCCTTTGACGGGTAGTTGATAACAGTTTTCCCTGATTTTCTAGGGTGTGCCTGAAGTCAGAAACAGAAGTTGCTGCGCAACAGCTCTCGTGGATTTTGTCCCTTTCCGTGCGCGTGCGCGCGGATCACAGTATCACCTCAAGATCATGTGTTGGAAAAGCAAGGGTTTCGGGTTTCATTACTTGGAGGGTCGAGGGACTTAGTAAGTAGGTAGTAAGTAGACTTATAAGTACCCTAAAGGGGACCCCTAATTTGGGTTATGGTACTTACAAGTCCGTAAAATAACCAGTTACTAAGTCCCCCGACCCTCCAAGTAGGGTTCATGAGTGAAATGTAGAACTTATAGGAACCCGAAAAGGACATCAGCGGCATAAGCACGATACATGGATATCCCTACCTTATTGGCTTCATTGTAAGGGTGTTTATATGAAGTATCCTTTTCCTGATAGTTGCTTGTGTGCTTTTTTGGGCCCAGCCTAGGCTGCAATCGCCTGGCTTCTGTGGGGTCCTTCATATACTCAGTGTTTGGGCTTGATGGAACATAGGGGAGATTCAGACCCTACTACTAAGCCGTAACCTGTCTGTTGTAGGTTAACGTACTTGCTGAAGCCGAGTTAGGTTTCAGGTTTCCTTACTTAGCGAATGGAGTACGCCTGCGACAACGTCTCAGGCTGGAAACCCAGCCACCCTCCAAAACCCCTTAATTAAGGAATATACCTTAAATTATATGAAGGCTCCTATTATAATTTAAGGTATGTTCCTTAATTAAGGGGTTTTGGAGGCTCTGGGAACCCAGCCACCCTCGAGTTGCCGCAGTCCCATGCTACAGCGACCTCCTGGACGCAGCCAGCACCTGTCTTCGCTGCACGCAAACGGCGCACTTGTGGTGCGGCTGGTTCTGCCGCGCCTGCTGTGCCAAACTTCCCGCGTCCGCATGCTTTTGGAGGGCAGCTATTGGTGCCTGCTTTGGAGATTGCCGTCATCGACTATGCCTCGAAAGGCCACTTCGTGTGTGAACTCTTCAATGACCAAGCAGTCACAGCATTTCTTCTCAGTCGTGCAGCTGCTAGCCCATGCCCCCGCAAACAGCTCAGACAGACCTTTGCGAACTTCTTGCATTCAAGATCGAGTTCACCTCCTTTGCTTCAAAGGCTGAACTGCGCAGGCTGTGCACAAAGTTGGCCAAGGGTCATTACGACGTATCACTTTGCAGGTAAGTAAGGTTAGATGTACCGTAATTCGGGAAGAAAAGTGATAATCAGTATAGTCACCTTTTTGTATTCGCCCGATACTTAGGGCCCATGATCCGCTAAGTGGTAGGTTCGTGGGGTTCAGGGTGTAGGGTTCAGGAACCAACAAAGACAGCCAAACACGCCCCTTTCCCTAAACCCAACAACCTAAACCTTAAACCTAAACCTTAAACCCTTAAAACCTTAAACCCTAACCCTTAAACCTTTCCCCTTAACCCTGAATCTAAGACCTAAACCCTAAATCCTAGAAGTTCATCTTCCCTGTCCGAATCCCCCCGAGGCCCTGCACAACCGAAGTTCTTAGATCCAAAGTTGGAGGTATGGGCCCCTAATACGGACGGCTCTAGGGACCCTTAAGAGTCTATATAGGGTATATAGTAGGTATGCAGGGATCCCAAGGCTAAGGGCCCATACTAGGGGCCCATGGTTTCAACCGTTGATTAAAGGATCATGGACTTAGTATCTAGGGTTACTTCTATCTGCATCTCCAGCTAAGGTACTTATAACCTTGCTTACTAAATCCCATGATCCTCCAAGTTATATTTTGCCCCGCGCCGTGCAAGAAGCCAGCCCTAAACTCTATCAAGATTTAGTCTCTTCTTGTCTTACATGTTGTATTCTGTATACATGTACATGCATAAACATTGTATGAAACTATAGGTTACATGTCACATTGAATACATCTGCAAAGCGACTACGGCTGATTACGGGTTCAAAAGCGCCACAACATTTTCTGGATCGCCGTATGTAGGAACCTAGGAACCCCGCAGCTCTACACCGCAAACCTAGAAGGACCCTGTGAAACGTTTACAGGTTTTTTGGGTGTTAACGGATTTATTGGGTATGACTCGAGCTCGTCTTCACCCCCTGCCCCCCCCTCTCCCCGAGACACCAAGTAATTGTTGTCCGAAGTCGCTTGGTTCCCGAGGAGTGACATGGGAGTAGCAATCCTTGGATGTCGGGCTCACGTTTTGGGGTCTTAAGTTGTTTTGGAGGTTTTGCTACTACATGTGATAGCTTCATACCTTGATTGTTTGTATGGTTTGCGACTCTTGGCATGCTTGGGTTGTGGCAGGATCGAATCCTGACCAATCTTCGATGTCCGGGTTTAGGATTCTGTTGTGCATGTTAGGGTTCAGGGTTCTGTTGTGGGACTCTCCTCTTTGCTGCAGACGCCATGTTTGCACTGCTCCTCCTCGCCGCTGCGGCAAGGGCAACAGAAGCTCGGCAGGTAGTTGGGCCTTGGGCCCGTTTTCGCCTTGAGAGTTTGGGGTTTAGGGTTGAGGGTTTGGGGTTCAGGGTTTAGGGTTAAGAATTTGGGGTTTTGGGTTTAGGCTTTAGGGCTTGGGGTTTAGCTTTTAGGGTTTCCAAGTTGAGTTGAGGGCCTATTCGGTGTCTCTGCAGCGTGTTCGGGTTTACGTTTCGGGGTTCCGGATATTTATGTGTTCAGTCTGATTTCTAGGGTTTTGTTCAGGTGCATTAGAACACCCTTGCAGGAACCAGCAAGAGTCTGTCATCATTCCAAACCCTCCGGATCAAGTGTGCGATGCAAACCCTCCGGATCAGACAGCACAGGAAAGTGCACGCGGGGCAGGTGGCTTTGATCAATAACCAGCATGATTGGTTTGACAGGCTGGCTGCCATCCGCATCCTCATCCGGGACCCCTCCGATCGGCCCATCGCCAATGAGGTGGCCTGGATGGCTCAGCGGACGAGAGACTTAAACCCTGCGTCGCCTTGCAGTCCTGCAGAAGACTGGCATGTTGGTGGACTGGCCAACAGGTAACCTCCATGAACAGCTATGGCGCAGACTCCGGGAAGAGTTCCCAATCTTGGTTTTGAACAAGCCTATCACCGATGATGTCACGTGAGGTTCAGGCATGCAGGTTTCGGCCTTAGGTTGTGTTTGCATCTGTAGTAGCTGTGCGAGATCAGTTGAAGATTGTGCAGCAGAGCGTCTGCATAACCCCTGCGCAAGGATGACACCTTGCTTTTGGCAGGAACGATACCAGAAGATTAGCATGGCCACCGTGCGTGGCTCAAGATGACAGCGAAAGAAATCGAGAAGTGTACTTGGGTGTTGAGGGTTAGGGGTTGATGAAAAGGGGTGTTGGGGATGTCATCCCCATACTCCTCTCTTGATGATGTTCCCTTTCAGATCAGAACCAGACTTCAACAGCAGCAGCAGCAGCAACAGCAGCAGCTGCAGACAAGTCCGACATTCAGCATCGTCACCGACACTCAGAGCCCTGATCAAGTCAACCCACAATCACAGGTTATGAGTAGCCCAATTATGCTTAACGAGCACTCAGCAACAACTGCAGCAGCGTCAGTAGCTCCAGCAACACAAGAGATGGTGCAGATGAGGCTACAGCAGATGTTGCAGATCCAAGCCCCAGCAGAAATCTTTCAGCTGATTCAGGCCAATCATGCAGTCAACAACGATGCAACGTCAGCTCAGGACATCCAGGCTAATGTGCATCAGGTGGCATTAGAACTTGAAGCCCGTACTCAGCGATTGGCTGCGTGTGTTTCCAGCTTGACGGGTGACTTGGAGAGTGTCAAGTTACAGACTTCCAGCTTGCTATATGCTGCCCAGACGCAAGAGGCATCCTTGACATCAGCCGATGGCGTGGTTAAGGACATGGCGAATCATATTCAGCAGTTGGAAAGGGTTGTAGCCCAAGTATCACGAAGTCAGGTTACATTCGAGTCAACGATGGGGGCTCGTTTGGAGGCCATAGAACGAGATGTGAAAGCTTTGTATGGATCAAGCGAATCAGTGGACGCATTGAGGAGTGAGGTTGCCTCGATGAAGGTGACTCTTGCATCGCTTGAGACCAGGCAAGGCAGTCGAGACGACGACATGATTCATGAATCTCTTAAGCAGTATGTGCTTGAAGAGTGTATGTCAAAGAATGATGGTCTTGATTGGTCACGACGCCTCATGGATTTGCAAGTGGAGCAGGATAAACTTCGGAGTAGTCTGGAAGCTTCGTTAGCAAGTCATGAGGCCGAGGCCAAGAAGACTATGAGCGTGTTGGAGAGCATGGTGGCTTATGAGAGAACCACTAGTACACTTCAGCAGCGCTATGATGAGATAAGCAAACAGTTGGATTTGCTGTCTGTACACTTGAACGATGGTCGGGTGAGGGAACAGGCCAACGCACCACGTCAGCCTGCTCCTATGTTTGCAGACAAAGTGAGCCAGCAGTCATCAGCCGAGCCCACTACGCCCCGGATTATTGGATCCTCGAGGCCAGAAAGGTACAACATGACTCCAGAAGCTGGGAAGGATTTAAGTTCGGAGCAAGTGGACATGGGTTGGTATGATGATGACGAAGACAATGCACCGCTGAGTAGTCTTAGCTTTGGACCGTCAGCTAGGCAGACTCATCTTGAATCATCACCACCTGGGTTGCCAAAGAGCGCGAGGAAGCAAACTGAAGTATCATCGTCAGCTTGGAAGCTCTTGAAAGACATGCCAAAGTTGAACAGCAATGCATCGGAAGCATGGGAACAAGGCGTGCATTTCAGGCAGTGGACCACCGAAGTGGCAGCGGTTGCAGAAGCTATCCATCCCAACTTCGCTGATTTCTTCAGGAGGAGACTTGATGAGGGACAGCGTAGATATGAGAAGAGGATGGAGCAAGGCTTCAGTGATCCGGTGCCGGCGGCACAGTCAGTTGACAAGGAATTTGAGACTAGGCTGTCTCTTACACTTTTGAAGTTGCTTCCGAACAAGATAAAGACACATGCGCTTGAGCGGGGCAATACCCAGGATGGTATATCTACTATAGTGCTTTTGGAATCCATCTATGAGCAGATGACGCCTGGAGGGATCCGAGAAAAGAACTCATTGTTGCAATATTTGCGTACGCCACCTGTTGCAAACCATGGTGAAGAATTGACTGCCACTTTGCGGAGGTATCGTCTAGCAATGCAGAGGGCTGCACATCTTGCTATCCCAGCCTTGGCAGCACATGAATCAATTGCAGCTCTTGATCTGATGGTTAAGCCACTTGAGAAGAAACATCAAGCTCTCAGTGTACGGTTGGGAATCATGCGTCTTCAGTCCAACATCCAGATCCCTACCCCAGAGGGGGTGGAAGTGTACATGAAAGTGTTGGAGGCCGAGGCTATGAAGCTTCAAGCTGAAGAGGCAGGCAAACCACGATCGGCATCGAGGAGTGATGGTGGGGATGAGTACTCTATCCCCTCAGCTAACCAGGTGGAGGGAAAGGGTACAAGGCCGCTTTGCGCATACTTTAATACGGCTCGAGGCTGTTTGAAGGGCAGCGCATGCACATTTCGACATGAGAAATCGAGTGGTGGAGACCAGAAGGGAAAGGGTGCAAAGGGCAAGGATGGAAAAGATGGGGGAAAGCCTGGAAAGGGTGGTCAGGTTACCAAGCCTGAGCCAAAGGTCCCGCCAGCTCCCAAGGCTGATGCCAATGCCGTGGCGGAGGCCAAGGTGAAAGCCAAGGCCGAGAAAAAAACGGCAGCAGCTGCAAAGGCAGCAGCTAAAGCAGCAGCGAAGGCAGCAGCTAAGGCAGCAGCATCATCAACAGCAGCAGCAGCGAAAGCAGATGATGATGATGTTCCAGCTTTAGTTGGTGCAGCGTACACTCCAGCAGTTTCTTGTTCAACTGGAGCACGGGCTTCTATGGCAAGAAGGGCAGAGGGAGATACCAGCGACAGTGACATTGATAACTTGAGCGTTTCAGGGATTCCCATGCGCGCCGATGGTCAAACTCCAGACTGGTCAGAGGTTGAGCGTGGTGAGTTTTCTAGTGAGGAGTCAGAATCAGATGGTTCAGATGAGATTTTAAATCTACAACGTCAACCTGAACCGTTGTGGACTTTAGATCTCAGTTTCGAGGAGTACGTTGTTTGGAGCAGATCCGGACACGTCCAGGCCCAGGCCCATCGGGCTTTCCGCCAGGTCACGAATCCGAATGCGATTGACTGGCCCATCTGGTGGACCATCTTGCATGACCAGCTTGATGAAGATGAGAGGGGAGTGATTCCTGTAGTAGAGGGTGTAGACATGTTGCGATGTGATGTGGTCCAGATAATGTTTGAGGATGATGTTGCAAGACCAGTCTTTGTTATCTGGCTGATTGAACAAGAGACTGGGAGAGAGCGCCATATTGCAATAGTGAGACATCAGCAGAGGCCTCGAGTGAATCCGTGGCCGGAGTCAGGGATGAGTCAGGCTGCTTCTTCATCTTCCCATCAAGGTGCACAAGGCGCACACTCACATTCCGACACAGCTTCAGTTGGCTTGCCACGCATGGGTTATCCTATAACTCCTCTGGCGAAAGCTGCAGCTTTTGACATCAGGTCTTCAGATAGACAGGCTTTCCAAGTGGCGCAAGCAACAGCAGAGGTTTTTGAGGTGCATGCGGAATTCCCATCGCATGACAGTGGAGGTGAACCGGATGATGAGCAAGGTAGTCCGAGGTCTAGTGCCATATCTTCAGGAGGAGACGTGCCCACGGCGATGCGTTGTATTGCATTGGAGGATTGTGATGATATCCCGAGTTTGGTTGGTGCTAAGAAAACAAACATTGCTGCACGACTAGAGTGTATAGATCAACCGACAGGCAGTACAGCAGCAGTGCCACAGGTTACGATGCCTTCAGTTCTGGTTGATTCTGGAGCAAATGAAACGATCAGGCCTTGGACGAGCGACATCAAAGAGAGCGGAGGTAAGCGCACAACGGTTGTGACGGCATCAGGTGATCATGTTCCGGCTGTGAAAACTAGGGATGGCGAACTGTGTATACAGGCTAGCCCATCTTCCAGGGACTGGCTGCTCAGTGTCCGCAGATTGGTTGATGCAGGGGGAGCGTTTTCTTGGAATCAGAGCGGTGCAACAGTGACATATTTGGATCAGCATGGTAGACATCAAGCAATTGAATGCCTTATACAGAATGGCTTACCATTTCTTTCTTGGCAGGACTTCAGGCCGATTAGGATCATGCTATCCAGATTTCACAAGGCTCAAACTTCGTCAGCTTTGCTGGCGAAAGCTGGGGGTGATGATGAAGGCTGGGTTGAGTGTGACACTTGCACATTGGAGCAGCTGATGCAAGACACCTGGAATGAGGAAACGATGTGTGCAGGAGTGGAATTCACAGATGAGGTTCTCAAGAGCGAGACACTGGCGCGCGAGGTGCTAGCGAAGGGTTCCATCACGTATGAAGAGCTGTG